CAGCAGCCAGACATGTAAGAGAGGGCAGGGTTCAGCACCACCCATCTACCAGACAGCTGGATGTATCCTTTCCATAGGGCACTCTGCTGTAGGTGGGCAGTAAGTCAGCAAATGGTACCTTTGAGCCTCATTCTCATTTGCACTAAACTCTGTTCACACCACCCAGGCAGGCTTGTAAGTTGGCCTCAGCATGGGATAGAGGGGGTCACTTCCATTTCCAGATAAACCCAGCAAACTTGCCGTGTCAGACAGCCGCGGTGGCCTCAAGCGCACTGCACTCCTTCACGCACTCTGCCTCCTAAACCAGAACGGTGCAGGTGCATCTACACCATGCTTTGGGTGTGCATTTGCCATGGATGGGTGACTGGGCCAAGTAGCCCACCCAGTGCTAATTAGCTGGTCAGCAATGAGGCCTGGGTGTAACCACACTGCGTCCAGTTTGAAAGGCAGCTTGGGTGGAGCCGCGAGCCTGTTTTGAGGATGCCGCGGCCTAACATGCTAAGCTTGCTGTGTAGGCGTATTTTCCTTTCTTCCTAGAGTAACCTGCACCCCCCACCCCTTTTTTCCCTCCCACCCCAGTCCTCAGTGAGGAGCAGCCAAGAGGTTGGGCTCTGTCTACAGCAACGCCTACATGAACGTCAGCATGAATGCCTGCAAGGCAGATGAGCCTGATGTGCAGCTAATTTCAATTTACTGGTGAGGGCTCACTCTTATATACATTTAGACTCTGGTTCAAGTAGGTCTTGGAGTATGTGGTTAGTCTGGCTCCATCCCATTGAAGTGATCTTTCAAGTTACCCACCTACTTATGAGCCTTCTTGAATCCAAGAGTCAGCGGGGACCAGAATGGAGCAGCTGATAGAGGCATCTCTGCTCCATAGTCAGAGATCCAGAAACTGTAGGTTGTGTCCCTGAACCAGTCCAACAACCTGAGACTCCCCCTCAAGCCTCCCTTGGGGGTGGAAGGTGGTTGTCAATAATAAAGTGGCTCAATTCAGACAGGTTCCCAGAGTTTAACTGAGAAGATTTAGCGCTCGCGAATAATGTCCTGGGCTGGGTTCTGGCTGCCCTTTTGAGCACCTAAAGGGGTGGCCAGAGGCTGGAGGAGACTTTACCCTGGGATCAACGTAGGCTTGGCTTAAGCCAGTAATTCTCACCCATGGTGTCAGGGCACGCTGGAGTACAGCCAAATCCTTTGAAGGATGCCATGAGATGTGAGGAGATAAGCAAATAAACTAAGCGGAAAAGCCAGGCTCAGGCCTGTCCCTGCCTGGGTGATCTCACACCTCCATGGCCCAGGTAGGAGGTAAGCATTGTAATACATAAATTGATTTCTGAAATTGGATGCCACTCAATTCACAACAGTTATGGAAGGTGCCTCACGCCCAAGCAACGGGTGCCTCAAGTCCAAAAAAGCTTGCAAACCACTGGCTTAGGCGTAGGCAGTGTTTGTGGCACTCTCCTTACAAGGATTCCCAGTGCAAAGCAGCAGCTCAGCGAAGGCAGCACTAAAGGTCTGCTTTAGCTTTTGCCTGGCGCCACTGGCCCCAGCGGAGATGCTACAAATCCTGTCTTTTGCCTGCCCTAAGCTGCGCCTTCTGTGCTGCGCTTAGCCCAGCGTCAAGTCTGCCTCCTCGGCAGGTCCATTCTCGTCCCACTGAAACCTGCAGGCAATTGGGTTATGTTGAGCCTTGCCATAACCCTGCCACGTACCTATTGATAAGAGCATGCCAGAGAGATAGTACACAGGCTTTCTGTGCTCCTGGACATATTGGTTATTCAGGTACAGCAGGACAGGAGAAATGATGAAGAAACTCACATTGCTGATCTGAAAAACAAACAGCAAACACATTCAGTTTACAGGGAAAAGGGGCCTGGGTGTCAATGGACAAGCCAGATCACTGCTCTGTGCCTCAGTTTCCCCATCTGAAAAATGGGTACCTACCTTTGTTGAACCATAGGTGTCACCCAATCTATATTACTATTGATTGAAATTCAGGAGGCAAAGGTGTCATGCAGCAAATAGGACTGAAGCTGGCAGGAGAATTACCCTTGTGAGGCAGTGGCAGGTAAGGACTGCTGCCTTCTCTCTGCCTGAAGCAGTCTTTGGGGCAGAGGGAGGGAGTCAGCGGGGCTGTGACAGGACAGAGTCTGGCCCAGTTTACTTCAACTGGATCCTGTACCTGGGCAAATGAACAGAAAGGCCAGAGCTCATCAGCCCCTGACCATCCCTGTCTCCCTCCTCATCCCTGGACTTCCTCCTTCAATGCCCCTGGTATCATCTGTAGCATTCAGTTCATATTGGCAGGGAGGTGAGGACTAAGGAGTTTTACTTGAACAGGTGAATCAGCTGGTAAACCTGCTGGGGAGGGGGCATTTGCTGAGGGTGCAGTGCTGTGGAGCCAGGCAAGAAGGGAGACAGGTAGGATTAGCCGGTACACTGACGTATCACAAGAGTCAGGGAGTCAATACTACGTGATGAAAGATGCACTTTTAATTAATGCTCTTAAAATTTACGTAACAGGATTATTCTGTACCTTCAAGGCACTCTGCTAACAGCGTTTAATCAAGATCTCTTGATGTGATTCATGTCAAGCAAGGCTGTAGCTATCCAGGGGAAGCAGTGAAGAAATACTGGGTCCTATTCCCAAGGCAATGGTTTTGGGTAACTTGCTTTCCCCCTTGTGACCTCAATTTCCTATCTTTGACATGGCAGTAAGGTGACCATACAAAGAGCAAGAAAGGATCAGGATGCATCTAAGAGGTCAGCTCCTTCTAGAGAAGGACTAAAAAAATCCCCAAATGGTAAAAGGTAAATTAGGTTTGGAAATAGCTTTTATCAGCAAAGGAGCTGGACCAGGGTGAAAGCTAGCCAAGGAATATTGATTCACATCTCTTCCCATCAATAATGTCTGTATCCCTTTGGCCCCTGGCACATGTTTCTTTAAAGGTGCCAGAGGATCTGAGCCCTGTTCCCAACAAGTGCAACCCCTTCCATGCTACATTTGCAATTTTAGGATAAGGGGTCAGATCCCAGTCATGCCCTTTCTATTTGTTAGTAAAGGGAAAGCCCAGGATCGTGATCCCAGGGTCTCTCTGCACCACCAAGTCAAGAGCCAGGGCATTTATACACCTACCTTTTCATCCCACAACACACTGGAGATCCGGCAGGTCCACATGTGAGTTGATGCGCACTGCGCTGCATCGTGTGCAGTTGTATGAGTGGCAAAATGCGCGTCAGCATGCAGAAAATGGCAGGGGCGTGCTTTCGAACGAAAGTACCTTCGAGGTGTTTTAGTTCAAAAGTGTGCCGCCATTTTCTCCACGCTGATGCGCATCTTTTAAAAGTGCCCCGTGCTGCGGCGCAAGTGTGTGTACAAATGCATTGCAGCCTGATGTAACCTGGTGTGGTCCTGGGGCCAGGGCCAGCAATGAGCTGATTGTCAGCACCAGCCCTGGATGTGCTTCACATTAGATTTAAGGCACTATACAAACCAGCCATAAAAATGTTCTACATCATAAGTGGAACACTTTTATGGCTGGTTTTCCATTTTATGGCACTTTTAAATTGGGGGCATATATAGCACCCTTGCCATCTGTGCTGTGATTAACACATTAATTGCAGCCTAAATGTTAGCTGTAGAGGGGCCCTTAGTCACATTTGGAAATTACAGCCCAGTGCTCTTAACAGCATCTTTTTAACCCCTGCAAAAGTGAAAACCAATCTATGCCAGGAGTGGCTCAAACAAGACTTGGTTTAACATCATGGCCTTTTGGTTAACACTGCCTCACGTGGTCCCAGAGCCAGTCAGGACTGTTGTTGAGTTAAGCCAAAGAGCGCTAAATGCCAACTGGAAATGCTCATATGTGCAATGTCTGTCTGAATTTCGACTTGGCCTTTTTCATCCCAAGCCTAAACACATTGCAGAAGCTTACCAATGAAATGCTGTCTCCTCTAGGGTGAAACATTTTAGCTCTTTAAGAACATGCAGGAGTGTCCCACAATGGTTTAGCGAACTGATTCCTAACCAGCCATGGCACCCTGGGGTGCCATGAGATCCTCTTAAAGGTGTTGCACTATATTGCAGATAAGGTTCTTCGGGTAGACGTGCTGTCTTTTATTAGACCAACTAAACTCATGGAAAAATTGTTCTTTGCCAGCTTTGGGGCACAAATACCCTTCTTCAGGCGTAAGGAAAGTCTGTTGGTGTTTACGTGCTGTCCTAGGTAGAATAGAAGCCAAAATGCAAAATACAGGTCTGTGAACATGCAAATGCATGTCAGTAAGGTTCAAAAGGAATGGGAGACAATAGGTGTGAAAAGGCATGGTGGGTAGGGAAGGGGGAGAAGGTGATAAAATGTAGCTGGTAAAATGCAGACAGGTTATCTGATGGCAGGTAGGTTATAATGTGCCATAAATCCAATATCTATATTTAGTCCATGGTTTCTTGCATCCAGCAGATCCACAAAGTGAAGTCCGCAGGCCTGTGCAGGAAAGGTGCCCTGCAAACTCCCCCCGAGGATCAGAACCGAGAGACTGGAGAGAGAGTAGCCACCCAGTGAGAAGCGTGAACCCACGAGCAACCAGGCACTCCCATCCGCGACAGATGCTCGGCGTGCACCCATCCCAGCATGCAGCTGCCACCTAACCTCCCCACACCCTCCACAAGGGCATCCAGCGCACTGCACAAGATGTACCACACCTCCAGAGATGCAGGTGCAAGATCCAGGCTCGATGACGACAGCACTGCCCTGGGGTGCAGCTATTAGCACTGTTTGGTATGCAAACACTTACATAAGATTCAGTAGCTAAACCCATAGTTCAAAAGCGTGCTGCCGCCATTTTCTCAGCCCTGATGTGCATTTCGCCACTATTATTAAACCAACTCAAATAGTATCAAAAAGATATTGGATTTATCCAAAGAACCTTGTTTAGCTAAACCTAGAGATTTCAAATAGGAATCCATAGTGTCTAAAACATTCTGGCCTATTGTGGTCTTTCAGGATACTTCACAAGAGAAGAATTTCTCAATTATTTTTTTTTATTGTAAAAAAAAAAAAAAGATGTGAAAGATAAAAATGGGCATTTATTGAAGGGTGCCTTGAGTCTAAAACAGTTGAGAACCACTGTTTTAGAGCAAAAGGAATCGGGGTCCACCTGAAGCTGCTAGGGGAAGGGAGGATGTTAGGATGAGCGAGGAGGCAAGAACAAATACCCTGAGTACAAGTGGATCTCATGAAAAGTAGCACTTATTTTGCAGGGAAGGGGAAGTGGGGAGCACAGCTTAGTTTTGAATCTAGCATCCCTTACGCTCTGAGATTACTCGTAACCTCACCACCATGGTCCTTCCTTTTGTTCCCATGTAGGTGCTAACTTGGGCTCAGTTCCTATGATCAGGTCTGTATTAAGCAACTCCTTGCATCCATCTGGGCCCTCATGTGCAAACGTTGTTTGACTTGTGAGGTCCAAAGGGCCCTAAGTGGATAATAAGAGGGCTTGAGTCTACACTTAAGTAGTTATATGTATGCTACACACCCTAATATGTTCAGTTTACACATCAGCCACATGATACACAACCGAGGCTGCTCTCTTAATTGCAGCGGGTTGGTCTTGAACCTCATCAAGCCTGTGGGGAGACAAGCTAATGCTTTTCTTCATAGCATCTTTCAGGCCAAGGAGAGATGCCTGTTCTTGGTATATTTATTGCCCAATCCAGCTGTATTTCCACTCTTGTCTGGGAATTTAGCCAAGGCTAGAATCAGCGCAATCTTATCCATCACTCAGTTTTTAGGTTCAGACACATCCACCAAAGGGAAGTTCTGGTCCCGCTGCCGTGATCAGTGATAGACAGCTCAAAAGAGAGGGAGAAAACAAACCAGAGCTATAAAATTACAAATAGGCTGTGAATAAAAATGCCTCAAAATTGAGTAAAGAGGCTCTTGGAGAACACAAAGGAGCAACGGAGCAAAAATGCACATAGAAAGTGCAGCAAAATGCAAATTGCAAGAATGATCTTATGGCATCGCTGGTTGCTCAATTAACAGCTCAGCAAACCAGAGTTAGGAAAAGCAGATGCTAGAGATTTCACACACAGGTGTAACCCTTGCTGCTATGTGCATCGCATCAGCATCTTTTACTGACTTGATTTCAACATTAGCATTTAATTAGTACAGTAGACAGAGTACAACAATCCAGATATTAAAGAAAAGGTATAATTAGGTGCAGTATGCCAGACTGGAAAATGCGATGATTAAATTCAAGCGATTTTAGGAACCTGTAAGTGACTCCAGGGCACTGAAGTTTGATGGCTAAATGCTGGGACTCCATAACATTGCATCTAGTAGGAACATAAAGAGACAGAACTGGAAAAATCTCTCCAGTCTCCTAGCCCAGTCCCCTCTAATTGCAGGTACCACGTCATACCATTCCTTCCATAAATTTATTGAGTGCCATCAAAAGCAGTTAATTTTTCCCCCTATTGCTCCACTTTGGAAGGCTGTTTCAGAACCTCTTTGCTCAAATAGTTGGGAACCTCCTTCTAATTTCCAGCCTCAACTTAATCATGGCCAGTTTAAGCAGGTCGAGATACCAGCTTGCAACCATCTCCTCTGGACTCTAAGGAAAGTAGAAATCAGCCATGCAGTCTGTGCACAGACGGCAACAGGAATTCACGTGTAAGAGTGAACCATCTCATTGGCTTTCTAGCTCTGCAGTTCACACAAAGGCCCAGCTCCCAGGGGACAATGAGTGAGTTTTAGGTCTTGTCCATGTCACATTATTTGACAGGCTTCTCTGTTTCTATTTAGGAGAGAACTTGGACTGGAGTA